AACTCCTTCTGGAGTGACCGGTGTCAATGACTCCACCGTAGGTAGAAACTCATAACTCCGCTCAAACTAGTCCAAATCGCATAATTTTTTTTTAATTGGTCCCTGAAATAAGACAAACATGAATATCAGATGACTAACCATAAGCAAAGAATTGTTCCTATCCCAATCATTGAATACTTAATCTCGTGGGAGCAAATGATGAGCCACAGCCTCTACTGAACTCATCAACTGAAAAACACACAATGGAGATCTAACCTGTAGTAATATAGTGCATTGGGAGGAGAAGGAAAAGGTGATTCTTGCGCTTCATCGTCGTTGTTCCTACCATTCAATAATAACCGCAGATAGCTTTCTTTCTTGTAAATCCAAAGACACGGAACTACATTCGGCTCAAACAGAGATCTTACCTGCTGCTCATTCACTCCCGAAACTTCGAACAAGATAAAGAAGCAGAGAGAACATTTGAGCAGATACAGGTGATAATGGCTCCAACCATGTTAACCGTGAAGGAAATCGAACAAGAACAGAATGTTTATTTCCAATGCATTACAACCTTTCAACTGCTTCAGACGAGGGTTTGGAACATCCAACCGAGAGGAATCTGTCTTCTACTTGTGAATAAACGCTTTTGGAAAATTTTAATATTGAATAATAACAAATGAAAGATAAATTAAATGAAGTAAAGCTTAAATTAAATTTAAAAAAAATAAAAAATTTTCAGAAATTTTGAAATTTGAGAAATTGGTCTCGACGCGATCAGATTTTTTAACATTTTTGGAATGGGTTGAGGCAAGTTGATCTCCGAAAACCAGAAAATTTTATTAAAAAAATTCAAACAATTTAGTATAAAGCTCTGTTTTCACTACTTAAGAAAACAGAGTTTCTTCCTGATCCACGGCCCTGTTTCACATCTCTCCAGACTCAGGAGCAGAAACTCGAACATGAACACTGCGGCTGTAACGAACAGCTCATCGAAATCTTTATCATTCTGTCCTTTCTAAGAACGGAACTCTCAGAAATTGTGAAAGTGTGGAGAGAAAGAGCTGTGCTCTGAGCCAATGGTGTGGTGTCACAATCTCTAAACAGATTTCATCAGAAAGCTCCCCCCCTCCCCTGCAATACATTAGAACTATTTATTCACGTTGTGTGTAAATGGAATCCAAACCTTTTTAAATGAATAAATGAGAAAAGTTTAATAAGCATTCATTAGACATGGTATTAAAAATATATAAATGTATATATAAATATAGAGATATATACATGAACGATGTCTGAAAACGATTTAAGAGGGAAATGAATGAATAAGAATCCGTAAAGTTTCAAAAACAGCTACAAGCAGATAGCTTTTATAATTTAGAATTGAATGACTGACTAGCATTTTATACTATTTTCTAACGGTTCGAAAGAGGGTTTTAAAATATTTTTTTTGTTTTGCTCAACATACTGCAGTAGCCTGTTAACACGTTGTTGTATAAACTCGTGTCTCCAAATATAAATATATGTTTATATATATTTATAAATAGAAATATTATACAATCGAAATTAGTTGGGAGAAGAACAAAAAATTCCTTTCGATTGTTGAATTAACACATCTCATGTATACATATAAAAACAAACAAGAAAAACGGTACAGAGGTATCTAGAAGGGAAATATTCGAATCCGGAAATGGATTAACCTGTAGAGATAAACAGTAGGATTTACTCAATTCTAATACTATTCAACAAGTGCGCTCGAAAATTTCTCAACGCTGCTAGAAGAACAAAATTATGGTAAAAAGAAAGTTTTTTAGAACATATTATCAAAAAAAATACTTTGGAGATTAACATGGCCAGCGTTGAGGTGGGGGATAGGAGAACAGAAAAAATGCTCCTAAATGATCCATATCTATAACAAGAAAATGTTGTTCTTCAAGAAGCTTAGCGATGTTTTCAATTTTGAGTGAGCTGTGAAGTAATTGGAACTAAGTAAATGAATTCTAAAATAATTCATACAAGGGAATTAGAGGATGTTTTTCCTATTAACAGATTGTTTCATAAAGATGGCCAAAAAGAATTGTTGACTAGGAGTTGTGGATGGGAGGTTGTGGATGGTGGTTATCGAACATGAAAACGAACTTGTAACGAGAAAAAAACAATTAAGTCATAAGGTGAACGAGAACAATATCAGGCTCATAAAAGTTTCAATTCATAGGATAGTTAGATGGAGGAGAAGCCTTAGTTCAGCATTACTTGTAGCGACAGTGTAATACAATAACAGAATATATAATCTATAAACGAGGTAAGAGATTGGGGACTTCAGGTAGATGATTGACCACGTTTTTCAGAATATCTTTTAAGGATAATTAATGAGATCTTCAAATGTTGTTTTTGTGTTTATATATAATCATTGATGACCTAGGATTGTCGCAAAATGCATATAAGGCTTTTGACTTGACTAGAATGTGTACATAATTTGTTTTAGAATTTAAAAGAAAAATAACAAGAGAAAAGCTGGAGGTATTTGGAGGAACCCTGAGAGACTGACAACCAAAGACTTCTGGTAAATGATGACTTTTGTGAAGAGGGATTTACTATTGTACATACTTACATCTTATCCATCTATCTTTGTCTCAAGACCAGAAGGGTTGACAGCCGGGAGTAATGCTCGGTGTAAGTTTAGATAAACTTCGCCGTCAATTATAGATCCACCATGGTGAACTTTACATGAAAAATTGGGTGGCGACAACTTGAGTCGTGGGACTTTCATAGAAGGTGGGATTGCTGTAGACAGCAGCTGGTGTTGGTGTACTGCTGGCAACTGAACTGTTGTTGTTGTTATTATAAGACAGTGTCGTTTGTGTCATCGAAAACTGATGACCGGGAAAATAAAATGAATGGAAGTTATTAACTGAAAATTTTTGATGTTTTATAGTTGCTTCAATCAAACAAACCTGGTGGAGTCGGCAGGACAGTTTGTGTCGCAGACCCATCGGAGCCTGGTGCAGATGGCATCTCATCTTGCATTACTTCGCTGAGATCAGATGGCAAGCATGGCGACGAAGAAGCATTGGTTTGAGTAGAAACATCGCTGCGTTCGCGGTAAGTAGGAGAGGGCATTATGTTATGCTGAAGTATAATCTATGATTACATATCCAAAAGATTAATGAGCTTACTTCAGCTGCAGGATTAGCCAAGAAAAGCTCCACTAGTAGAGGATCAACGTTGCCACTTCCAAACATGCGCGCAAACTGTATGTTCTCTCCCACCAGCGAACTCAGCTTCTGAAAAACCAAACCAAATTTAGGATTAACAAACATTAGTGACTGACCGCAAGAGGTGGCAATAGCAACAATATATTTCCAAAACGACTGGTAACAGCATGAAGCTGAGAAGAGCTCTCTCGGATCAGGTGGAACAGAGCGTTTTGAGTTCGGTCTCGTAGTTGAGATAGCGCAGCTGAAGTGGAAATAGAAAGTCCTGGTGCATCTAAACAAATGAAATAATTTATAAAACTTTATTAAAATGCAACCTGGGTCAAGAATAACGAGAGCAGATAAAACAACAATTTCTGCTTCGTTCAAGCATAGCTTTTTCATTGGTGCTACAAGCTCATCAATAATTCTGCCAATCATATTGTTGGACAGCATGCTAGAAAACGTGATAATTTCTTGAAAAGTGAAGTGTTAATAAATTACTTGGTTTCATGAAGATGGCGTGGTAGAGTTCGCGGGAGGACTGTGCGATTGCAAAGACAGATGCAGTTTGAAGTTGCAAGCTGAGATGTTCGAGCAGCTTGGCAAAGAACCAGATATGATGGAAATACTTGTTTGAGTAAAGCAGTCTTAAATTGTTACATAAGCAATAATCATCTTAGTTGCATAATATAAAAAAGTTCAACAGATATCAGAAACAAGATGTTAATTGTTTGAAAAACTTTCACGTGGTTTTCACGTCGAAACAAGCGTTTTCTCAGCTTTCATTTTATCGTAAACATGTCGTTTAGAGCGGTTGCATTCAAATAAGAAAAATGAAAATGTAGAGTTTACCTTCTCTGTTACGTTATCGATTTGTGCCAGAGAGAAAAGAGAATCAACCCAATGAACTGTTGCCAATACATAACGTCTCATGGCCGAAGCCAATTGCTCAACTGTTGCTACACGCCCAACATCATAGGCCATCTGAAACAATTTATATTTTAAAAAATGAACTGGTTTTTCATTAAATCAAACCTCATATGACTCAGATACAAATGAAAATCTATTCAAGAACAAATGAGGCAGATCAAAGTCTGGATCAGGCTACAAAAAATGAGAGATAAAATTAATAATTGCCAAGTTTCCGTCAAACCTTAATCATATCAAAAGATCGGGCTGGTGTTGAACCGGCCATAGCCTGCATTTCAATTTCCACCAAATACGTGACCAGCACGTCTTCATGTGTAGTACTGAAGCTGCAAATCAAAGAATGAAACGCTGTCACAGAAAGTAACATTATATTCTAATTGGAAACAGTATGAACCCTAACTAAGCATTTCGGGAGAATTATTCTGAATTAAAAGAAAAAAATTCTTCTTTAAGTCTAATCTAATTCCAAGACGCTTCCCTGTAATCTCCTTTCGTCTTATCCTTCTTTCTCTCTATCTCCTAGTTTTCTCCTTTTCTATGTTTCCAATATGCTCACATTTGGGAAAGTTGCAATTTTCAATTTCAATTAGCTTTTCTCTTTAATACTCACATGCATTCAATTCAAATAAGTTTGCGTAATAATTAATTTCATTGATTTAAAGGAAAAGTCTGACGAAAGCAAAACATACGGAGATTCACTTCCAGGTGAGGGTAGGGAAGAGTCTTCTCTTTTTATCTTTTTTCGACGAGGATTTTTCTGCTTTCCAATCACATCACGGTCAGGACGAATTGCTAAATAATTAAGCTTTTATATTATGAAAAGATTGAGATCTTACCATCTGGCTCCATTCCGACACTGAGACATCTTTGAAATCTACAAAACCGACACGCATTTCGTTGATCTGTAGAGTAGAGAAATTTATTTATTGAACGTTGGAATATTTCAGCACCTTTATCGATGCTACAACATTGCTTGAAACGACATTGATAGGTCTGTTGGCTTCGTATTGTTCTTCTGAAGAACCCTTTGCATCCATAACAAGCCATAACTCCATAATGTTTTCCAGCTGATCGATCCCCACAGACCATACATTGACCCTCAATAAGATCCATTACGGATCTGAAATTCAATTATATTCTTTAAAAACGTTTCATCTTTACAAATTTAGTAAAAAGTAAATTGAAAAATGAAAAATGACATTTCAAAACGACAAATATAAGCAAACATTTAATACAAAAACCCATAGAAGAGAATGAAAAACAGAAAATTATCGTGAAACTTAGATTGACATGACCATTCCCACGAAAATTTTTGATGAAATTTTATAATTTTTTCTCACTTTATCACGAAAATTTCCGAAAAAATGAATAAACACATCATTCCTTTGCCGTCTGTCTCTTGGTCTCTTTCTCTCTCCCTTCCTAAACTTCTTTCTGAACTAAATCCAAACTGACCCAAAAGTGAAAAGAAACTGCCATTTGCAATATTGGCCTTCTATGGAAATTACATTGTAGATGGCCAAACTCATCTCATTTCACAGAAAATTATTTCCTTTTCTTAGCTTTTCCTTCTTGTCAGCTGATAATGTGTGTTCAACTGATCATCTCAAAACAGCGAAATACATATCACCATATCTTCTCCGCTACAAAAAATTTTTTTTCAAACTTGTAACTCCAATTTCTTCACAACTGCCATTTCTCATGTCGTCGTTTTGCCTCATTTTCGTCTTTTTCTCTCATTTTTCCTTCGCAATGACAACTAAATCATATGGCAGAACAAGCGCCACTCAAACATTAATCGATACCAAAAACAGAAATTCAAGATGAGAATGGAATAAAAAAAAGGTGTTTTGTAATAACTTCTTGCCATTTTGCAAGATTTTCCAAGTCTAAATATAGAAGTTTCTAAGAAATGTCTCCTCTTGTATCTCCTTTCTACAAAAAACCATCAGTTAAAGCAAAAGAGAATAATTTATTGAGAAGCTTATATTCTATTCTGATGGAAGTTAAGTTTAGTTTGAGAGAAACATGCTTATGACTGGCAACATGAGTCTGCTCCGGAAAATTGCTTCCGGATGAGTTACGTTTGACGAAAAGAGAAGTCTGAAATCCGAAGAAATAATTCTTATTTTTTACAAATTCCTATATACATGTAGTTTGATAGCATTTGAGACCATTCGGCAAGGACAATAGGTGGCTCATTCGCCAAATGCGGAATGCTTTCAATGTTTTTCACATCTTCTTAGATCAATTGGTCAAATAGCTAAGGAAAGATGAGCGTTTTAAGCTGCTTGTCGGAAGAGTATTACAGCTAAGTTGAAAACACATGCTGCCTCCTATTCATTTGGAGTAATGTGGGAAAAAATGAAGAAAAACTGTTTTGTGAACATGGACTCGGAAATGGAAACGTCTCTATTCCAATATCAGAGAGAGAGAGAGATAGAGAGAGAGGAGAAAGGACTATTAGTTATTAAAGAAATTTTTTGCACGAAAAATTAATGAGAAAAATGTTTCAAAGTTTATGTTTTGATTGATGAAGTGCCATAAAGAGCAAGTGCGTGATTGAAGGAAAAAGTCAATGAGACACGGCTCGAACAATTTTTTCTTTAAAGTCTTTGAATGCGAAACGATGCTGGTGGGTGTTAGATGTAGAAAATGAACACGATGGGTTCAAAAAGAAAAAGGAAGAAAAAGGAAGGGAACGAAAACGAAATGCAAAAGCAGAAAGAGAAAGAAAGAGAGAACTAGAGAGAGATATAGAGAAAAAATGCAGAGAAACGAAAATGAAGACAGAGGTGGGTAGAGAATGTGAGCAGAGAGGCTTGTTTACTTCGGCACATCAGAGCCAATCGAGCGTTATGTTTCAGTCAAATTGAATTTCCCTCCTGGCAATGCATTTTGTAGTGAAAACTATCTGTGAAAGGGTTCATTTCCTGCTTAATTTGAAGAAATGCTAAAATACTTGTAAAGGAGAATGTGTGTTGTTTTATGAAATGTTTGATAAGGTTTTCAATGAGAGTGCCTAGAGAAATAGAGAGCAGCTGAGAGGAATACAGAGGATCTGAGAGAGCCTTACTCAATTCGACTCATTCAAAAAGGAGAGAGACATAAACGATCCAAAATTGAGAACATTTTATGATAGAACTGAGGTAATCATCAATATTGGTTGATAAAATGCTTTTTTCAAGATCATAAAGCATGAAATTCAAACAAGCCTCATGTGTGTTGGAGATTTCGAAAGCATTTTTTTTGCTCAAAACTGATTGGGGCCAATGACGATTCCATTTTCATCAAATACCAGCTGGCTTCTAATTGTTTTAAATGCAACAGAGAGAAAAGAAAGAAAAAGAAGAAAGAGGTCTCAATATAAGAAAAAAATAAATTCAACCAGTATGTTGATAGTATGTCTCTGTGTGCATGTGTGTGTGGAACAAGAAAAGTTTTCGGAAATCCCTAATCAGACGGAATATGTTATTAACAATGAGAAAATTATAATTTTTATAATAATAACCCTGAGCTAATTATGAATGAAAGAAATTAAAACACAACCGTTCTCTTTGAAATATCTCCAATGAAATGAGATTTTAAACTCTTGAAAGCATCACGCTTGATTGCGTGAAAGCTGTACCACGTCATTTACGTGTTCAATTAATTAACATAACTCGAATGAGTATTAAAAGAAAAAAATGAATGGATGAAGGTAATGAATAAAGAGAAAGTAATTGATTCAAATTTTCTTTTTATTATCTTAAAAATTAAATTTTAATGAGAAAATAGGATGGAATATGTTGAGAACACACACACACACACACACACACGTACATATAGACACATAGACAGAGGCATTGTCGGCTAAGGATGAAGGTTTCAGTAGCCCTTTTCTAACTATTGATTGTATAATCTGTTTGTTATAATAGAAATGGGAAATAGTTTTCATAAAACTAGCCAAATCAACACAAATGATGTGGAACATTTTTGAAAAATTAATGATGAAATTAACGGAAAAAGCGAAGAAAATTCAATTTGATTTTCATAGCCTGAGGCAATCTATTTGAGCTTATAAGTTCATTGACGTTAGTGACAGGACAGTAAGCATTCTTATCTTTGAGAAGAAGAGGAAAAAGTATGATTTAAGGCAGAAAATAAGGAAAAAGGGATGAACGGATGAGCCGATAGTTGGGAAGAAGAGAATGAAAGAAGACGTTCGTCGTACGTAGGAAGAACCGCATTGAGTTAGTTTCAAACAGAAAAAAAACACAAAAAGAATGTTCAGCTTTTTCTGACCCATGGATAGTCGGAAACCGTCATTAGCCTCATTGCAAATTGCTCACACTGCAATGACTAATTACGACTAGTTGAATAGTAATCCGCCTTCATCCATGCTGTCTGTTTCATTACATCTTCTTTGAGACAGCAAAAAGTCTTTTAATAACTTCTATTTATAATTCATGGGCTTTCATCTTATCAGAACAGAAAAAGACAGCAAGATGTGCAGAGAGGATATGACCACATCCATCTCTCCTTCTTCCTCCCTCCCTCCTCCCCCCCTCCTTCCTCTATCCTTCTCCGATATTTTCAAGTTGAATATGCTTAATCTTGTTTGCAAAATATCACAAAAAATCTCATTTCTGTTAAAATAATCCGTTGTTGCATAAACATTTGTGTAAGAAAAAAGGTTATTTATGTATTGTTTGTTTATTGGTTGATGACGTTCGAAGAGAGAGATGCTGTGAGAGATAAGCAAAAGCTACACCACACATCTTTCAAAATACTTTAATAGACATTTAACTAATCCTTATTAGGTTATATAATTGGCCATTAAAGCTTTCTCAATTCAATCAATTCTCTTAATTCTCTTTTTTTCAATCAAAATTAGATATTTTCCGCATTCAGCCACAGCAAAATTAATTTTTTTTATTTTATTTGCTTTAAGTTAGGAGTTTCATTTCAAAACTAACATTCTTGGGCAGTTTTCTTCAAATTTTCAAATAAACACGTCAACCTATTGCCTATTCTCTTCTTTTCCCTATTTTATAATCGTTCACAGGTTCTCATAGCTCTCGTTTCGTTTCCTCTCCTTCTCTCTTTATCTCTGTTTTTGATTCTACTTTCGTTCATCAATGCGCGAGTTGCCTCGTTGTTTGAGCATGTGTTTGCCAGCTTTAGTACTGTAAACTGTTCCGAAAATTTAATGGAAAGTGTTCAATTTTTTTTGAAGGGAAAATAGATATTCATAGAAAGAGACAGAAAGAGTGGGGGTTCATTGCTTGAGGGAGAGGCACGAGAGGTTCAAAGCTAGAACGTGGAAACAGATAAAAAGGGAAATTTTAAGATACAAAACCGGAAAGTTCCACCATAGACTCAGGTGATGACGTTGGAAGCGTTGGTGAAAAAACAATTGATGACCGAAGTAAAAAAAAGAAAGAGTGAGAGAGAGAGATATATTGAGGAAGAGAGAAACCTATAGTCTTACTTCGTTGTCATGCCTTGTGGAAAGTGTAACAACGTAATGATTCGACACAAGAAAATGATAATTAGGATTGACATGGAAAGGTTTGTTAAAGTTGGAGAAAAGTTAAAATTAAAAACATTTTTCGGTTTGTGAAATAGAAAAAAGAAATAAAGTGAAAACTACACGAGAGAGATATTCAAATGAAAAATATGTTTGAAGTTGATGGAAAAGGTTTGGAAATTCGTTCCTGTAATCAAGCTGGAAGAGAACGCTAATATCCGGTCAGATCGGATGTAGAGCCTTATGAGTTTTCAATATTTTTTTCCGAAAATTCATCGAAATTTCCTTTCCTCCGGCAACTTCTCTGTTCACAAGTTCGATAGGTAGAGAGTTAGAAGAGGGCGTATGTATGAGAAGGAAACTGTTCAGGACGTTAACCAAGATTGGAAAGTTCACTCAAACTCTGTCACGTTTTGATCATTTGTCATTTGTTTTTTGTTTGTTTGGTGCTTTTTCTCATAACTTGTCTCTTTCTCTCTATTTGTTTCACATCAGCTTTTTTGGCAGCTTGTGAAATTTTGGCACATAATAAGCGGCTTCAGTGCCAGGGGTTTGCCTGGCACTGGATCGCATGCTCAATCCCAACCCCTGAGTCTCGGGG